GAACGTAAACGTATGCATGATTTAAATTCTGCATTAGATAGTTTACGTGAAGTTATTCCTTATGCAAAAAATCCATCTGTACGTAAATTATCAAAAATGGCAACATTATTATTAGCAAGAAATTATATTATTATGTTAACAAAAACACTTGATGATATGAGACAACATTTCGCAACATGTTATCAAAATAAATCTGAACAAGATAAATCTCAAACAATATGTCCTAAAGCTCAACTTAATTTACCATGTTTTTGTTCAATTTGTTTAACATCAAATATAAATATTGAACAAGAACGACAACAAACATTTCCATCAATTATATCATTTGTACCAACATCATCAAAAAAAAAAAACTAATTTCTTGATTGTATCGTTTTTTGGATCTTTATTATACAGAAAAAAAAGAAAAATATAGAATTTATTTGACCAGCAACAAAAAAAAAAGAAAAATAATAACTCATTGATAGCCCCCGTTTCTTTTCTTGTTCATTTTTAATATAAGAAAATATAATGTGTAATCTGTACAATATGATAAATAGATTTTGATTTACTTCATTTTTTTTCTGTCTTTATCTGACATGAAGAGGATTCTTTTGTTTACCAATTGAGAGGAGCAACATTGAAACGTGAAACAATACGATTTTGATCAGTTAGATCTTTTTGAACTTTACGTCGCATATAAAATATTGAACAATCACGACTAAAAAGAAAATTATAATAGTTATTTATTTGTCAAAGAATTTTTTAATGGATAGAAGTTTCTTATTATTGATCCATTAGATAAAAATTGATTTAGATTTAATCAAGAATTAAGAAGAAATAATTTTTGATATACGAAGAATTTGTCAAAACTTAATCTATTTGAAATTTATTTCAATCAATGATTTATCATTTGTTAATACATGGAATATTTCAAGTGAATTTGAATGAAAACCTGAAATTTCAGTCTGAATTAGAGTCCATCGGATTGATTCCAAGTCGAGGGGTCTAAAAAGTTTGAACCCAACAGGTTTTAGTCCCAATACATATCTAAATATATACAATGAATTACGCGTATATTGCTTTTTTAGTCTTATTGGAACAATCAATAAAGGCAATAGTTTCAACAACATAATAAAAAAAAAGTCAATCTAATCAAGACTCGTTATATGTTGTTCTCGTTAAATCTTACTTTGTACAAAGAACATCTTCAAGTCTAGCACCTTGACATCGTTGACATTCTGTCCATAAACGAGTAAATTTTTCTTCTAATTCTTGCAATGATTCAATTTCTTTTTGATAATAATCACCTTCTTTTTGTTTACAATATGAACAAAGAGCAGTACCTAAAAAAATATCAATAAAAAAAAATTTGAAATAGATATTTACTACAATTGATAATTCTTTTTTTTTTAATTCTGTTTGCCTTTAATCTATGGTTTCTTATCTACTTCATATTTTTGAAATAAATAAATATTTCTTGTAAATGAAATATGTTTATAAAACTACAAAATCTATTCAATAAAATTTCATATCATATTTGTTTTATTCTTACCTTGTTCTTGTAATACAGTTTTACATCCAATACATTTATCTTTTTTTGTTATAAAACTTGCTAGACCTCCAACTTTTGATGTTACTACTGTTTTAACAGATGTATGTTCACCATCTAAAATAATTAAAGAA